CAGAATAAACAATTATGTTCCTGACCTGACGTTGATTCTGCTGAACTCTTCCAGTGGGGTGTACTTCTGGTATAACCCAACCCTTACTCGTACAATTCGTTAACTCCTGCATCCTGCCTATTATTCTCTATTGTTCACCCTTAGTTTTTCCAGGGCTGGCTACTGAAGAAAGACTATACCTTATTACGCAGGATGTTAAACATTGTCAGCAGGGTCTGTCTGTCTGGATTCAACATAGAACTTGGCACCGAAGTGCAGCAGTTCGAGTTGCCACGTTCCAAATAGCACACAGAGGTAGACAAGAAGATGAGTGAAGAGAATCAATAGAGTTTGACAAATATAAGAGTGAAACAGAATGGGTAATGGTAGAAAGGAATATGAAAGATTACAGAGATTGAATACATCTGCGCCATTGACAACGATTTTGAGCCATGTCACCTATTGTCTCCAGCCATTGATTCCTAGAGTCCCGAGGGCCCCAACCCGGGAGTCTGCATCTCCCTACCTGACTCAGTTTAACTGTCAAGGATTTCATGGATTGATGCCATGTTTTTGTTTGGCCACCACTGGCTCTTTTCCAACCTGAACCTATATCAGCTAACAATGCCCGTCGGGGGAGGCGGTGGTTAGGCATGCGCACCACGTGACCTAGCCATCTTAGTCTATGTAACTTTATAACCTCGTCGATTGATTTTCCCTCTTTGCCCAACACTCTACGCCTAACGTCAACATTACTTATCTTGTGAAACCACCTAACGTGAGACAGAGATCGCAGACATCTATGATCGAAAGCAGTCAACCTTTTCATGTCTTCAACGCGTATTGGCCATGTTTCAGAGCCATAGAGAAGGACGGAGCGAACTGATGAGCAGTACACACGTCCCTTGGTTGATAACCGGATGTCACGCCTACGCCAGAGATGGTGTAAGTCAGCGAAAGCAGCTCGAGCTTTTCGGATCCGTGCTGAGATTTCATCGCCAATCAGTCCGTTGGTGCTAATACAACTTCCCAAGTAGGTGAAGTGGTCAACATGTTCTATCACTTCACTCCCTATCACTAAGTTAGGGGTTGACGTGTCCAGTCCTGTAGCAGCATCTTACATTTTGCAGGGGCGAATCGCATGCCAAACATACGAAGATTGCTGCTCAAGGTGTTCAGAAGACTCTGCATTTTGTCAGCATCCTCCCCTAACAGGACTATGTCATCTGCATATTCTAAGTCCATTAGATTATTCCCTGGTAACAAGTCGATTCCTAAGTCACTACGTTCAGTTAAGGATACTTCCATTAGCATATCTATGATGAAGTTAAACAGAAATGGGGAAAGTGGACATCCCTGTCGGACACCACTGGTTGTTACTAATTCAGATGACAATTCCCCATAAGCCCTTACACGACTACGTGAGTTTGAATAGAGTGCCTTGATTAGTGCAATGTACTTTCTTGGCACTCCCTTCACAGTCAGACATTGCCATAGTACTTTTCGGTCCACGGAGTCGAAGGCCGCCTTCAAGTCAAGAAATATGACAATTGTTGGACGCCGAAAAGTGTGTCTATGTTCTAGAATCTGTCGAAGAGTGAAGATATGATCTATGCACCCTCTACCTGGTCTAAAGCCTGCTTGATTTTCCCTTGTCTGTTCCTCCCGAGTTCTGCTTAGTCTATGCATGATTACTGAGCCTAGGATTTTAGAGACTATGTTCGTTAGGCTGATCCCCCTATGATTATCACACGAGGACTTGTTTCCCTTCTTGAATATCGGTATAATGAGTGACTTACCCCAGTCTGATGGTACTGTCTCTGATTCCCAGACTTTGCCTAGTACCTCAGTTAATCTACAAACTAGTATGTCACCCCCATATTTAAACACCTCCGGAATAATTCCGTCGGGTCCTGCCGCTTTGCCTCGTTTCAAATTACTGATAGCTTTTGTAACCTCACCTACAGACGGCGGACCAGTGTCTATATCCCATTCGGGTACGTGGTGGATGGCGGGGAGGTTCAGTGTGGCTGTAGGCAAGTTAAATTGTCAGCAGGGTGGTAAGCAATGTGCCACTTAACCAGCTTGTTAATACTCTGGTCGACAGGCATTTGAACTCATGTGAAAAATGGGCTAAATCCATTTTATCTATCTAACTCATACCACCACCATCTTCATTCACAACTCTCCCCTTGTATCTCATCAGGCCGAAGTAGAAGCCTTTATAGAAAACTATATGCTCGCACTAGCAAGAACAAAAACTTAACCATACCCTACCTAGCTTGTGTTCTGTGTGATAAAGAACGTTTTCTTTTCCTTTTCTCTCTCTCTTTTTCTGTTATGTGCTGCTTTGTTTCTTTGTTTCTCTCTTCCTTATAAACTCTACTTAAAACATTCTTCTTTGTTCTTTGACACTCAGTATATCTCCACCTTTTTGTCACCGCTTACGCCAGTAAATATGCTAGTGTATCTACTTTTCTAACACCTTCAAACACTCTGTTCAATTTTGGCTTTGCTACCGACATGCCAATATGTTGTTGTCAAAAACGAACCGAGATTTCCTTAATCTATGTAGAATTTTATTTATTGATAATGTACTAACTGGATGGAATACTGTAGTGAAATGCAGAGAATTCCATTCTGTATCACAAGTACTGTTTTGGAATAAAGCAAAGTATTATTATTATTATTGATCCATTTTCTAGATGACTACAGATTCTTTGATTGGACAACACCAATTAGTAACTAGTACCATGTGTCTAATTCTTGGTGTTTGGTGTAGACTGAATTCTATCAGCCAAGTTTGCAACTTGGCCATCATGACAGAATTCAGTCTGACTCAAACAAAGGACTGAACGCATTATACCACTTACTAACCAGTTTCCAATCGAAGTATCCATTGCAGTTCTACAAGAGGTCAATCACGAGGCCAAACAACTCACTGGTAACATCTCTCACTGCGCAACTAAGTAACACGAGTTCAAATCTCAGGAGGGACATAAGTTCCTTCAAGACTGCATATACAACTTGCTGAGTGGTGAGCCCCAACAAGCACGAAACCTAAGGCAAAAACTTCCTTCCGATTGCCCTCAATCAACTAATAACAACTAGAGGTTATTCTTGTGGATTAGAGAATACATTGCACTGATCAAGGCGCTCACTCTACTCGAACTCATGCAGCCAGCCGCCAGGTGAGAGCTTACGGTGAGTTGTCATCTGAAGTGATGACGACTAGTGGTGTCCGCCAAGGATGACCATTATCCCCATTTCCATTCAATTTCATCATAGATGTACTGATGGACTTAACCCTAACTCGCTTCAGAGACACAGGGATTGACTTGCAATTGACTTATAATATGCAGACGATATAGTCCTTCTAGGTGAGGACGCTGACAAAATGCAGACAGGGTCTTCCGAACACCTTGAGCTACAATCTACGGTTGTTTGACATGCGATTCGCTCTCGCCAAATGTAAGATGATGTTACAGGACTGGACTACACTGAGTCCTAGTTTAGATATAGGGAGTGAAGTGGTAGAGCGTGTTGACCACTTCACTTATTTAGGAAGTACCATCAGCCAATGGCAACAGGTTGATCTCTGACGAAATCTCAACACGGATACAGGGGGCTCGTTTCGCATTTGCCAGTTAACGCCTTCTCTGGCGTAGAGGAGATATTCGACTGTCGACCAAAGGGCGGGTGTACTACTCATCAGTCCGCTCCGTCCGCCTTTATGGTTGTGAGACCTGGCCACTGAGAGTGGAAGACATGAAAAGATTAGCTGTTTTTGATCATAGGTGCCTGCGCTATATCTCCGGTGTGAAGTGGCATACTAAGGTGAGCAATATCGAGGTTAGGCATCGGTCGAGTGCTAGTTAGGTAAGGAGGGGAAATCAATCGACGAGGCTTTGAAATTACATCGACTGAGATGGTTAGGATATGTGTTACGTATGCTCACCTAAACATCGCCTTCCTCGACCGACAGGGAATGTTAGCTGACATAGGGTCAGGCTGAAAAAGAGTTAGCGGTGGTCAAACCAAAACATGGCTTCATCAGTCAATGAAATCCACAACAGTTAGTTTAAGCCAGCCAGTCATTTAGGAAGGATGATGTAAACTTCTTGACTGGTTGGGGTCCTCAGGACGGTAAAAACCAATGGCTGGCTCAAAATCGTTCTCAATGGCTGGCTGGCGCAGATGCATCCACTCCTTGTGACTTATGATTTTCAATGAAACTATATTGTTATTTGTTATTACTATTCCTTTGTCTCACACCTCTATTTACTGTCTCTATTATGCATTTCTTCTACTTTCTTCTCCTGCTTTGTGTGCTGCACATCGATGCAAAGTTCGATGTCGAAAACAGACAGACAGATTCTTGTGCATTCTGTAACATCGCATGCAACAGTGACCCAGCTATCCCAGTTATTCTATCATTTTGGTTATCTTAACGCCTTGGTATTCCAGATAAAGGTGTCAAAGTCTACATCGGTGCTATTCACAGATTTCAGTCAATCAGTCTGACATCCAACATCTCTAGGCTTCGCCATAATATCTTCAATTTAATGGTCATTAAACTCCTACTTAGTGGACAGTAGTCAATGGGCTGGCTCCGTAACCTGTAGATTCTAAGTTAGGTACTCTGGTGAGGTCATGAGCATGCACTGTTGAACAGCCGCAAGCTAGGAACGAATAGCTATCCGGTGGTGATTCTCTAAATGTTATCGGTTTATGAGGAAATCCACACTAAAACGGGTCCCAGTGGCTTAATGGTGTACGAGCTCTCTAACCTTGTAACCAGAGGGTCCTGGGTTCAAACCCTGATGGATGTGTACTGCTGAAGAGTCCCAAACTAGGTTGGCGAAGCAGCTGTCCAGTACTCCCTGGCATATTTTCCAATGGTTCTCTAACCAATATCAGCTCATGGTGAAAACTTGTAACCAATCAACTAAATCCCTACAAACCAATACTTGAATATAAAAATAACAGTTGGAAAAAACAATCCCAGTCGACTGACTTACCTTTTCACCCCATTCAACTCCCCAACTATTTTTAACAATCCAATAGGGTATATTCTCTTCAGAAACTCCATAACCAACAAGTAGAACGGCATGATCAAGCATATATTTTGAGCAGAAGATTTTCCACGGGTGACTAATTCCATGTCGATAAAACTAAGTACAAATATATTGTAAAAAAAAAATAAATAAACACCATACAAAATATCTGAGTGGTGTAGAGAACTAACTTATCAGTGTAATGAAACAAGGTTAAACGAAGCCTTCAATGACTTTGAAGTAAAATATTAAAAAACGGACAAGTTAAACTTTAAGCACCACTAACTACTACCAATCAGTGAACGACCTCGAATGGTCCAATGAGGTTCATGCACATGAGTTCAAGGTTGTGTAGCGCTTGATTCGTATCACAAATGCGTGCTCCAACGAAGAACTCCTTTACGCTTGCAGTTCGAGAGGGATAAGGTTTTGCAGTATTGCTTGGATTTGGGGTTGGTTAGGAAGGAGAGGATTTGGCAACTCTAAGGAATAGCAGCCCAAACCGAAACTACCTTGCGAACGGACAAATTACCTTGAGCAACCATTCGGGTGACTCTGTTTTATCCAGACGTACTTATGGGTGCTGTACACCTTTTCCGTTGCAAATTCGCTTCAGATCTTGTTTTGATAACTGTTTGGAGAACGGACTGATAGGAAGGTCGAAAAATTGCCAATGTGGAGGTGTCATTCATATGCAAAGATACAACAATAGGTGCATCGATGCGTTTTTTTGTTAGTGAAATGAGTGCCGAACCAGAAAATTAGTTCGAGAACGTATGTCGTTCATTTTTAAATTAATAGATTCCTTAGGTAACTTTTGATATAAAAAGAAGATAAAATCGAGGGAGATTGTGTGCGAATCAGTGTCATATGACACCACCCTCCAGAAAGGATATATTTAGGCAACTCCTAATCGCAGTGCAGGTGTGTATTATTGCCTATTATCCAGCGATTAGTGCTGCCTGGGACGACTATTCCTACAGATGAATGGAGTAGTTACAGTCACTTATCGAATCTGGGCTATATATTCATCAAGTGGTCAACCATACAAATGGCTTCCTCATTCCTTTTGATAGAACTCACACACTAATTCCATCGAAAGTTTATGGAGTCACCTAAAAAGCTTATTAGATCTGTGAATGGATCAAGAAATGTAATGATATAAAGTTATCTCGATGAGTTTATGTACGGGACTTGGTTTAAAATGAGTATCAAGACTCCTATGAGAAATTGGCAGGTTTTATGCGACATATACGAGAACGTTGTCTTTTATAACTATTTTTTTAACATTGCATTACTTTTATATAAACGATTTATTACAATTATGAGCCGTTTTCAAGCCTTCTGATTGGTCGAATTTGTCCTCGTCAAGGTAATTTGTCCGTTCGTAAGGTAGTTTCGGTTTGGGCTGCTATTCTTTAGAGTGGCCGAGGATTTGTTCAACTGGGAGGTGTCATGAGTTTAAAAGGCTTTATAGCAGGTCGATTTTGATGGATATCTCTATTGTTGTGCAATTTGTTTGAGGCGAGTTCATAGTAGGGAAGATAAGCTGATAATTTTATTATTTCGTAGGAACATTTTTCTGCTAGGTCGCATCTCTCCCTAACCCAGATTTTTTCAACAGTTTGTAACTACTGGGTTTTAAAGCAGCCTGTGAGAGGCGCAGCTGCCGAAACCGAAAATAGCTTCGTGTTAACAATTGTTAAGTGGTACCAGCACTGCGAAGACATCGCATCATGCAAAGTGGAGAGAACTACTTCATTGTTAGACGGAAAAGGTATCGTAGTACACGTGGATGAAACTGTGCTACTGAAGAAATAATATGACAGTAGTCGTGAGCGAGCCAACAATGTTTAAGTGATCGGTTTATATGACACCTCCCTGCGGAAGAGATTCATGGAGAGAATACCAGACTGAAATTCAACTACTTTAATACTGGACTAGTGAAATAGTGATCCATAGTACATACTGATGAAAGGTTATAACTAGCTGTCATCTCTTGCATATATTTTCATCACAGAGTGATCTATTCTAGTGATTTTGTGGATCCCATTACAGGGACACACACAAATTGTATTGAAGGATTTTGGAGAAAATTGAAAAATAGAATTAGGGCTATAATAAATGGATCTCAAAAGGATCTCATTTATTGTCATTTGGATAGATATATGTACAGAATGTGGTGTGACTTTCCTATTGACACTCCTACGCTAAACTGGGAGACGTTTCTGTCACATGTTAGAGAATGATATCCTGTGTAACAGTTGTATGCAGTTTTTTATGCTTTCTTCCATGCGTTTACGTTTTTCCTAAATCAAAAATCCCTCTTTCATGTGACTGGTCTGTTGAAGATCGTTCGCTGATTGGTAGTTAGCGGTGCCTAAAATTTAACTTTGCCATTAAGACTTGTTCAAAGAGCTTCATAATTCTGCCAGCAGGGGAACAGGGTTTTATGATGATATGCAGGTTGGACTGGTTGCTCTCCTAGTGTAAAGAGACATGGCTCATTGGTATAAGTATTCAACTTACAACCAATAGGTTCCAAGTTCGAGTCCTACTCTACCTACTTTAACCTGGTAAACTGCATGAAAACGGTTTCAATACTATGAAGTTCCTCAAACCCTTATCAACCTCATTCACACAACTATATGACAGTGTCGAATGTCAAGTGATCCACTACAGATAAATCGATGAAACCTTTGAAGTGAAGACAGAGGTAAGGTAAACCTGCTCACTGTCACCGATGATAGTCCTGATTATCATCGGTGATAGACTGCAAGGAGAGATAAGACGAGAATACGTTCGACCGACAATTAGACTCTACAAGATTTGGACTTCGTAGACGATTCATCTTTAGTGTCACACAGACTCGAAGACCTACAAGCAAAAACCAACAAATTGGCAGACGACGTTGGCAGCGAAGACGGGACTTCAAGGGAATGCAGAGAAAACAGAAGTAATGAAGATATCCAAAGACAACCACCACCACCAACAACAACAACCAGCACCAATCACTATCAACGGAAGGAATTAGGACAAAGTCACTTCTTTCACTTATCTGGGCGGCATCATTTCAACTGCAGGCGGCACGGATTAAGATATCAAAGACAAGATCAGAAAAGTAAACCATACCTCAATTATTCTGAGACCAGTATGAAAATCTACCACACAGAGCATAAAGGATGAGATCTGGATTTCCAACACTAATATCCAGTCAGTTCTTCTGTATACTTCAGAGAGTCGGTGTGTCAGGAAAGGCATTTCGGCGAAGTTCAACAATAGCGTCCAAGGAGTGCGAACTCATAACCAATGACCTTGAACGCATACTAGTCGCTGGCTAGTGGCACCTGCCGTTATCATAGCTGAAATATCAACCCTATTCACCAGCTAAGCAGCTGATTTCACCTAGATCACGTTTTTAAAGTACTGTTTCGACAATGTGTCAATAACTCATTAGGGTTAGGGTTACGTTCAGGGTTATAATTAGCATTACGGTTAGAATTACGATTTAGATAAGGGTTATAATTAAGGTTAGGGTTACGATTAAGGATATATCTAGAGTTAATGTCATTTACTTTAATTTGTTTTCTTATCCTCATTTTCCTAATAAGTAGTCGTCGATCCTCTTGCTGGAAACCGCAGTAATTCAACAGAGGGCTTTTGGGGAGGACTGCACAACGTTGTACACGATAAAGGAGATGAACGATTCGCAAAAACAGCCTATCTGCAGTCTCCTGAGTGAATACATGTACACAAACTAGTCTAACTTAGCGCAACTGATACTCCTCATTATAACTGGGACGTACTTTTAAGTCATGTTAGAGGAGAAAGATAACCTGTTTCGTGTGTTTTCATGCATTTTCTTGTAAATATATGTCATTTTCATGACTGGTCGACTGAAGGTCACTCATGCATTAGCATCTCTTGGGAAGCTATTGTTGAACTTTATCGGCATTTCCATCAGACTTGGGACTTTTATCAACAACTGCCTTCACTCCAAACTGAAGATTTCAGATGGCCAGAAAGGAACTCTGAAGGGTAACGAATCAACCAAGAACACATCGTCATCATCATTCATCAACCTTATTCAACAGCTGTACGACAACGGTGGCACATGTCAAGTGATCCAAAACGGAAAACTCAGCGAGGCGTTTGAAATAAACACAGGAGTCAGACAGACAAGGGTGCTTATTATCACCAATGATATTCCTAATTGTGGTGGACTGGATTATGCGTCAGGCAGTCAGTGGGAAACGAGAAGACAGGGATATCCTGGACCGACCAACGTGAAGAACCTAGAAAACCTGGATTTCGGGCGTCGATGATTTATGTTTGATGTCACACAAAATCAAAGACTTACAAGCGAAAACCGACAAACTGGTCGAAGAAGCAGCCAGAGAAGACAGGACTCCAGGTGAACATAGGCAAGATGGAGGTTATGAAAATAACCAACCAACAACAACAACATCTGGCGCTAATCACCATCAAAAACGGGAGGGATTTGAAAGAGGTTGCTTCATTCACTTATCATCTAGGGAGCATTGTCTCAACTACAGGCCAGAGGAACGGACGAGGATGTCAATCAAATCGAGCGAGAATCGGGAAGGCGAGCGAGAAACACATTCATCAACCAACTGAAACCAATCTGGAAATCTCTGTCACTCAACTCAGCATCAACAACAAAATTCGGTCAGCTCTTCTATACGGATCAGAAACTTGGCGGGCGGGTCAAAAAGAATATTTTCAACAGCCTGTTGCAGACCTTTATCAACAACTGTCTTCGCTCTATACTGAAGATCAGATGACCGAGCCGGAAAGAATCACCAACAAGAAACTATGGGAAGGAACAAACAAAACAAGAACTAATCACCAACCAACAAATATTCAGGAGAAAGTGGAGATGGATTGGACACTCGTGGCTGAAGAGGCCGCCGCTGGGTGACATCGCGCGCGCGTCAGGCCATTGCTTGAGTGGAACCAGGCCGAAAGGGAAGCGGCGAGTGGGATGTCCAAGGGTAACATGGAGATTTATTTTCTTTTTATTTATTTTTTATTACAGCTTGATTCTACACTGTATTCTTGGTACAAGTATGGAATTTTCAGCGTGGATATCGGTAGCCCGAATTTCGCAGGCCGAACATAGATATCAGGTGTACGTCGCCAGGGGATCGAACCCCGGGCCATGTGCATGGTCGGCGAGAGTCCTAACCACTGTGCCACCGACGGACAGTATGGACTAACATGGATGCGGATGAAAAGTACAGCAGAAGCAAGACAGTAGTGGCAAGTGGAGACGTGCAGTTGAAGCCCACTAAGAACCCAAGGGAACAATAGTAATAATAATAATAAATAACAAACAAGAGGTGGGTAGGGTGAAGAATGTGAAGAACACATACCTGCAGGAGCATTGCATTCATTCCGACACTGATTGTTGAATTCTGATATAACCAAATAGCTAATTGATTTTCATCTTCTGGTAAACTAACAGAACTATTAATGTAGGCAGCAATATTACTAATTTTTAAATGACATTTTTCATCTTTAGCATCGTATGGATAAGTATCTTCAGTCATTAGTCCACCCATACGAATAATTGATTCATAAGCGTTCAATGGCAAACCACCGCCACAACCATCGTCTAATTTATCACAATCAACAAGTTGCTAGAATAGAATAATAATAAAAATAAATAAATAAATAAGGTGAGGAAAAGAAGTGAACACTTATGATACAAATTTGATCATAGAGAATAATAATAAAAGGAGAGTTGCAGCGAAGAAAATTCTCTTTTCGACAAAGTCCACTATCAGCTAGGCTGTACATTCGTGTACTTATGATAAATGGGTGGGAAAATTCCAGAATTATCTCCGGTCAAGGGTCAAATTAAAAAAAACTACAGTTAGGAGTGCGAATGTTTAATAAACAAAGGGAAAGGGTAAAACTCAAACAAAGTAGCATCATAATTACTGAGAAGATTGACATATTGTGCAATTGGAGGGTTAGAAATGTAGAAATAACAAAATAAATAGACAGGAAGTTCGGTTATGAAAATATGGTAGTGTAAATAGGGATTAAGAAAAACTTAAAAATAACATGAATAAACAGGAATTGTGGATAAGAAAGGCAATGGGATAGTCACTTTTAAAAGAATTACCTATTTATGATGACCATTGTAGGGAGAAGGGTTGGAAATATTTCTTTTAGATACATAGTGTGGGTCTGAGCTTTTGGATAGCTAGTGCCTTGACTATGTCCATATGTCTTGATTTTACTCCCTTTGATGGATTTGATCGAATCTTGTATATGACTTTGAAGGATTTTTCGAAAGGGGCTAAATGTCCACCCCTTGTCCCTGCCATGGTCATCATATACAGGTAATTCTTTTAATAGTGACTATCCCATTGCCTTTCTTATCCAAACTTCCTGTTCATTCATGTTACTTTTTATTAATAATAATAATTTTTCCTTCACGTTCCCCAGTGGAACATAGGGCTTCAAGCTAGTGGCTTGAAGTTTCTGTAGCAGAGTTTATTTTACAGGATGGGGTTGCTAGCCTCATGCCCAACCTTTCCTCTTTACCAACATTACTTCTGGCTTAGCAAGGTAAAGGAGTGCGTCGGCCGGGAATCGAACCCCGGACCATATGGATGGTCGGCGAGCGTCCTAACCGCTATGCCACTGACGCCCTTATGTTACTTTTAAGTTTTTCTTAATCCCTATTTACACTACCATATTTTCATATCCAAACATCCAGTCTATTTTGTCATTTTATTATTTCTACATTTCTAACCCCTAATTGCACAATATGTCAATTCTCTCAGTAATTATGATGCTACTTTGTTTGAGTTTCATCCGTCCCCCTCCCTCTGTTTATTATAGCATTTTAATTCCTAATTGTAATTTTATTAATTTGTCTGCCTGTCTGTTTTCGACATAGAACTTTGCACCGATGTACAGCAGTTCAATTCGCGACACTTCCTCCATATAACACACAAAGCAAGAGAATAAATGCATAATAGAGACAGTAAACAGAGGTGTGAGACAAAGGAATAGTAATAACGAAGAACAGAACAGTTTCATTGGAAATCATAAGTCACAAGGAGTGGATGTATCTGCGCCAGCCAGCCATTGAGAACGATGAGTTTGAGCCATATCACCAATTGTTTCCAACCATTGGTTTTCACCGTCCTGAGGACCCCAACCAGTCAAGAAGTCTACATCTTCCTTCTTACATGACTGGCTGGCTTAAACTAACTGTTGTGGATTTTGTTGATTGATGGAGCCATGTTTTGGTTTGACCTCCGTTAGTTCTTTTCCAACCTGACTCTATGTCAGCCAACATTCCCTGTCGGTCGAGGAAGGCGATGTTTAGGTGAGCATACGTAACACATGTCCTAACCATCTCAGTCGATGTAATTTCACAGCCTCGTCGATTGATTTCCCCTCTCTCCTTACCTAGCACTCGACTGATGCCTAACCTCGATATTGCTCACCTTATTATACCACTCCACACGGGAGATAGAACTCAGGCACCTATGATTAATGACAGCTAATCTTTTCATGTCTTCCACTTTTAATGGCTAGGTCTCACTCACAGGAATAAAGGAGGACAGAGCGGACTGATGAGCAGTACACCCGCCCTTTGGTCGATAACCAGGTGAATATCACGTCTACGTGAAATTTTAATTAATTTGACTATTGACTGGAGATAATTCTGGAATTTTCCCACCCATTTATCATAAGTACACGAATGTACAGCCTAGCTGATAGTGACTTTGTCGAAAAGAGAATTTTCCTCTCTGCAACTGTCTTCCTATTATGATACAGTGTGGAATTAAAAATAACCAAGTTTGACCACGAATTGATATCAGTTAGAGAGCCATTGAAAACTACCTGGGAGTACTGTGAACAGCTGTTTCATCCACTGGGTTTCGAACCCAGGACCTCCTGGTTACAAGGCAAGCTTGTAGACCATTCAGCCGATGGGATCCGACTCCTGAATGGCTAACCCATTAAATTCTAACATCTATCAATTCGTGATTTTTAGTGCAACTGGCATCAACCAGCGTCATCGGTGGGAAATCCATCCCTAATCCCCGCTGTATGGACCTTACTGGTCACGACTCCTCACTAGAACTTCAGGAAACTGAGTCCTGGAGTTGGTTTGTAAGGATTTGATGAGTCCCAAACTACGAGGAAACAGCTGCCCAGTACTCCCTGGATTTTAATCGTTTACTAATTGATATCGATCCGTGGTCAAACTCACAAAAAAAATCAATTCCTTACAAATTAACTCTTGAAAATAAAATAGAAATATTACAGGATTGAAATTAGCGGTTTATTTTAGTTAAAATGTACACAAAGTGTAAAATAATGATGATAATAATAGTGTTAACAGTTAATTTATAAATTCATTGAAATAGTATCACCATAAACTGTAAATAGCAGAGAATAAAAAGAGCCAATTATTTTGCTAATTACCCAGCAAATTATAAGTTCCACGCTTAACGCCATGTCTGTCCCACAGAACGCTGACGGGACAAATAGGCTATCGTCGAGTTTCTATACTTCGTGGTACGAGTATATAATCTTTTATAATCACTTCTAGTCCTCCTATCTGATGATATGCAATAGGTCAGGGGAGAGAGTTGAGAACTGATGCGGTATTGAGAATCAGACAATACGGACCTAGACGATTTCTCACATGAGTTCAGGTGTCTATCGACTACAACAGTAACGTGCCGACTAGGCGACACACTAATTGGCCTACTGGCAAGCTTTAATGCCCTTCGCAATATGACATAGTTGTTTTCGAGTAGCCCAGGAAAGACAAAAGGGGAGCAGTGAAGTACAGTAAGTCGCTACACTCCATGTAACACACAAAGCCAGAGAAGGAAGTAAAAAGAAATTTAAAACAGAGACAGTAAACAGAGATATGAGGCAAAAAGAATAGTAATATGGGCGAACAATATAGTTTTATTGCATATTATAAGTTGCAAGGAGTGGATGCATCTGCACCAGGCATTGAGAACGATTTTGAGCCATATCACCAATTGTCTCCAGCCGCCACTGGTTCTTACCATCCTGAGGACCCCAGACAGTCAGGAAGTCTACACCTTCCTAAGTGGCTTAAACTAACTGTTGTGGATTTCATTGACTGATGAAGCGATGTTTTGGTTCAACCACCACCAGCTCTTTTCCAACTTGATTCATCCTATGTCAGCTAACATTGCCCGTCAGTCGAGGAAGGCGATGGATAGGCTAAGCATGCGTAACACATGTCCTAACCACCTCAATCGATGTAACTTCACAGCCTCATCGATTGACTCCCCCTCCTTACCTAGCACTCGACCGAAACCTAACCTCAATATTGTTCACCTTATTATACCACTGCCTGATGCGGGAGATAGAACGCAGGCACCTATGATCAAAGACAGCTAGCTAGCCTTTTCCTGTCTTCCACTGACAGTGGCCATGTCTCACAGCCATAAAGGTGGACGGAGGGGTGATGCTCGTTACAGACTGGTTTAATTTTATTAAAGCATTTCCTAGTCACCTAGACATCTATCTTTCAGTTCCGAATTTGAGTCTGTGCAGATGTAATTGATTTCTGGGTAGACTTCGTCTCTAACTGACGTCAGTTAGATATTTATTGAATTAGAACAAAAGCTACCTCTTTCTGATCTGAGGTTCTTCAACTTATGTGCAAGCCAACAGAGGTAGAATCGAGGATCTTTAGAGTATTAAGTGTGGAGGCACACTATTGGGCTAATGGATCGGCATTTCATGACCGATGAATTCATGACTGGTGGCATTCATCAAGTCACGCATGTAGACGCATACTGATGTGGGATATTCTTAGGAAACGGCGTTATTTGATGGATTGAATGCAGTTAAAAACGATGTCATGTTAGATCCCAGACGACTGGCTCAATTATGCATCTGCATCCGCCATTGAGAACGATTTTGAGCCCATATCACCAACTGACAAGATATAGGGTGACCAGGAAAATTCAGAAGAAAGAACTATTCCAAGGTATTTAATGCTTGACTTAGTTCCTACTTCAGTGCCCTCTATGCTGTGAGCATCTTGTAAATGGACCGGCCGATAAATGCTACCTTGTCGTAGTGGTCGGGCTTGAATACCGTAATGACCCAACATCCTAAACTGACTGGGACTCTGTCCCTGCAGGTCCTACCATGTCAGGAAGGTTGTTTGGATAACGGTTAAACTAAAAGCAGTTACCATGGGGTACATGGGCTCCAGTATCCAATCGGATCAAATGGCGTATGAACCCATATGGGTCACAGGCAACCATGCGAATGCAGCTCCTGACGCTGCTCCGCTGGCTTGGGGATTAGACTCCAAGTCAAAGGCTTGGGGGGTGGTCCCTTAATAAAACCACCTGCTTCGATCTGGGCACCCGGGAAGTATCTCAGCCCTCACACAATGAATCGAATAAAGCAACAAACAATTAATGAAACCTGTCGCGTGCTATTACACGTGTTGCAACTTCCTTCTTTCTCCCCTTCCCGATGATAGTTAACGAATACTGTTTGAACTTGTTAAGCATGACTGTTTTCCTTCCAGATGAAGTTCTTTATCTGTTCTCTACTTATATATGTATATATTTTTTCTCTTCTTTTTTTTATTTCCTTTTGATCTATGTTGTTTTATTATTATTGTGTGGCACATCCTTCTTGGTGCCATATTGTACCAAGTTTTTATGCGTTTAAATAAATAAACGGACCAGTTCTTGTAGATAACGTTTTTGCATTATATGACGATAAAATGCAAGACAATTAAGGCAGCTTCGTACAAATATACCATTAAGATTGCATACATATAGATAGTATTAGAAACCACCCAGTAGTTACCAGTCAGAGATATGTGCTTTGAAATTGTACAATAGTATAACCTGACATTTAGTGTAAACCCATAAATATACAAAAATACTCATAACATAAACGTTAAAAACTTCTGATAAACACACTAACCTGTTCACTTAATGATAACAGTTTTCCAGTTTTACGGAACCACTGGCCTTCAATATTCCCAGTAGTTGAAAATGCCCAACAAGAGCCACACATGCCTTGGTCTTTAATATCAGTCACAGCACCTTTTTCTCTCCAATCAAAATTATCTGGTATATCTTCAACTTTTCCAGTCAAAGAAATCCTTTCACTACTTTTAAGCGGTGAATCCCAAGAGGCCATTAGATGGGTATGTGCAAATTCTTCACCTAATATAATATATTTATAAAAGCTGATAAAAAAAAAACAATTATACTAACTTGTTAAATCTGAAAAGGGTGTGATACCATAAACAGCTGAACCTCTTTCGAGTACTTGATACAGTTGAGCTTTCAGTAGGTTGGCTTTAAAGATATTGAATCTTATCTCATTTTCTAAAGGCAAAGAGGATATTAGCTTTTAAAAATACAATATCAATTAACCTGTCCCTTGATATTGTTTCTTGTATGACCATTTGAAATTCGCATACAGTTCATCCACATTTTCAGGAAGTTTAAAGCCTAGATACTGAAATATATAAAAAAAGAACAAAATAGTTATTGAAACGTTAAATTTCTGTAACAGTCTAAACACTTCAATTGTTGAGAACACAATATTCAGCGAAGAGACTCTTTTCAACGAATTTATTATTAAGCTGTACAATCGTATATATATATATGGTTTTTATTTTTTTAAGAAATTATATCCGGTGAGGGAATTGCCACTTGACATTAAACTATGATTATAATCACAAATATTTTAATTGCATTTCAATCTATTATTATTTCATGTATTCACACCTTTGACCTAATTCCTTCACCGGATATAATTTCTTTAAAAAAAACCATATATATATATATGACTGTACAGCTTGATAATAAATTCATTGTTGAAAACAGTTTCTTCGCTGAATATTGTGTTCTTAATGCTACAATGGGAATTATTAAATTACTTCAATTATTAACTGATTTTCTGCGAAAATGTCTACAACAAAATGCTGTGTCGCTTCGATCGGCGAATCTAAAGTAGTAAAGGAGACTATAAAACCTTACACGAATTTCCAATCAGCAAAGCCTTGACAGCATACATTCGTGTATTTTTTTAAAGAGGACTTGAGTGAAATACTTCCTGTTCTTGCCTTTATTCTAGCTACAGCCAGAACACCGCATCCTAACTGAGTGATTGACTGGTTTCAACAAATAACCCGGCACAGAAGTGCAGCAGTTCTAGTTGCCACTCTCCCTTCATGTAACACACAAAGCAAGAGAATGGAGTAAAGAGAAATAATAAACAGAAGTGTGAGGTAAGAAGAATAATGATATGGAAGAACAATACAATTTTTTGGATATTACAAATCACACAGAGTGGATGAACCTGCGCTAGTCATTGAGAACGATTTCCACGCATATCAACAATTGTCTCCAGTCACTGGTTCTTAACATCCTAAGGACCCCAACCAGACAGCAATCTGCAACTCCCTAGGTGACTCGAACTAACTGTTATGGATTTTATTGACTGATGAAACTATGTTTTCGTTTGACCATCACTAGCTCTTTCCCAGCCTGATCCTATGTTATTTAACATTGTCCATCAAGGAAGGCCATGCCTAGACACGCGTAACACATCCCCTAACCATCTCAATCTATATAACTTTGCAACCTCATCAATTGATTTTGCCTACTTACCTAGCACTCGGCGCCTAAGCTTAAGATTACTCTTCCTAATATACCACCTAGCATGCGAAATAAAACGCAGGCATTCTAACTAAATTGAGTGATACCCACAATTTAATAACTTGATTCAATTATATTGAATGTAAAGTTTGAGAAACCAGTAGAACTGGAAAAACCAATAGTATTCAATAAGATGCTTTCAGTTGTTATGGATAAGAAATTAGTTAAACGCCTATACTAAACAGTTTTGTAGGAAGTGATGTAGAGTGAACAGTAAGATCCTGGAATACTTTTATAAGAAAAGATTTACTAACACTAAAAATTTGTTAATCAGTAAATTAAAGTAACTTAAAGGCTCTGTTGATGTGTCCTGTTGAATGTTTGAATATTTTCAACTGTTCATAACTTTGATATAAATGCATAACTGTCAACCACCTAGTGTTTCTATCATATATATATATATATATATATATATATATATATATATATGTGAGACAGGGACATAAAATTTAACGATTAGTTTATTCGACCATTGCTTCATTATATACGATATTAACATAAGGAAAAAATAAGTAGCAAAGGTCAAAGGATTGAAGAATATTGCATTCTCAAAAATGATATGAAGCCTATTAGCAATCAATCAGTCAACCTGAAGAGGCCTTTAGAAGACGAAATTCAAGTTTTAGAACTTTGCTGTCCACTTAGATGTTTGCTTTCGATATGGAATCGCAAATCAGTAATCAATGCAAATAGCCACGACAAAGTGATTTTATTATATATATCCAATATCCTGATTACGAGCTAGTATAAACCAGTGATTTCTTTGAGCTCGCTTCTTGATTGTGAGGTAGAGGTTCCAGATCTTCGGTGAGCTTCTGCGTAGTAAGTCCCGACACTCGACTGCTTTAGCTCTGGTAGACTCCAGGAGGAGTGGTGCGGGGATTGGTCGAGATGTGGTTTGTAGTATGCAGTATGTTAGGACTGTATTGCTGCCGTGAATGGAGTTTGACCTAACTCCCGTTGGTCATTCGGTGTAGTCATAAAAGCAGAATAGTAATAATAATAATAATAATAGGTTGTAGTGTAGATAATATAGGTTGAGATAAGTGGAATAATAAAGGTGACCTAAGGAAAAGATAGAGTGAGAGAAGGCAGAATAGGTCGTGGGGATTTAGTTTGTACGCTTATTCATTGACAGTGTGGTTTCAAATTTTATGAGGATAAGCCATTGAGACACAAACCTTGCATTTCTGCATGATTGTCTAGCTTCCGCTTAAAAATCTCCAGAGATGGCGCTGTAGTCACGGCCGCCGGTAAAGCGTTCCAGAGACGGCAAACACGAAGCGAAAAGAAATGTGATCGCACTCGAGTCTTTGGTCTCTGGTGTGCTATCCTTAGCGGGTTACCTCGTGGAAGCCTATAATCGCTTAATGGCAGGATGCTTTTATTTGGGTGGGCCTGGTCATTTAGGATCTTGTAGACGGTGATGAGGTCTCCCCTGTGCCTACGGTAACTAAGTGTGAAAAGTCCTAATTTCTTTAGTCTTTCCTCATATGATTTGTTGCGGAGGCCGATCACCCATTTTGTCGCTCGTCTCTGGACACTTTCTAGAATGTTAGCATCCCTTTTGAGTAGCGGAGGTGCAATGATATTATGCACCTCAAGGTGTGGCCTCACATATGCCTTGTATAGCCTTAAGAACAGTTCGGGAGTGAGAGCTCCCAACTGCCTGTGCATAAAGTGTAATGTTGCGTAGGCTTTGGCGACGTCCCTCGAGTAATTTCCACTGGTGTCTAGCTTTTCTTTTAGAATAAGACCTAGATCACGCTCTGATGGAACACAACTCAAGTTCTGGCCACCAAGGGTGTAATTTACACTCTGTGACCTGCCGGAATGAAGCTGCACTACTTTGCACTTCTTTAGATTGAAAGGCATTCCGTTAGCCAAAGCCCAATTTCCCAGAGTTTGCAGGTCAGCCTGCAATCTATCTGAGTCTTCCGATGAGTTTATTGCTCTCCAAATCTTTACGTCGTCAGCGTAAAGAAGCGCAGAGCAGTTCAGTTGGGGGGGCAGGTCATTGATAAAAATCAAAAACATCAACGGCCTTAGGATAGAACCCTGAGGAACCCCTGATGCCGAGGTGTGCCAGGATGATCGGATGCGGTTGACTTTGGTGCAGAATTCTCTCTCACCTAGGTAATCTTTCAGCCATGCGAGAAGTGCTCCAGAAACACCCATCTTGCTTATTTTGTGAAGGAGCAGACCATGGTGAACTGTGTCGAATGCTTTCGCAAAGTCGAGAAGGATCACGTGGGCTGGTACCTTTTTGTCTCAGGATAGTGTCCAATCGTTCCAGGCTAGTAGAAGATTCGTCACGCAGGATCTTCCCCTCCTGAAACCGTGCTGTGCTTCGTGAAGAAGGTTAGTCCCATCGAAGTATTTTCTCATGTGGTCGTCAATGAGACTTTCCAATATCTTCGATATCACTGGAAGTAGAGCAGCTGGTCTGTCATCTAGTATCCATCCTGACATTTTCAAGTGAATCCAGCCTTCCTGATGGTATGCAGCAGATTTCGATCAAATCTATCATGGGCTTTTCCCGACACCAAGTTAAGAGATGGGGCATTGAAGTCACCAGCTATGACAATTGGATCATAACCCATGTCTTGAGTTGCTGAGATTGTATTTCATGAATGATTCCCATTTGAACATTAGTAGACAGAAGACAAGTAGTTCAGCGAAGAGTCTCTTTTCGGCGAATTCATTTTCATAGCTGTACAATCGCAAATATATATGGTTATTTTTGTGTGTGTGTGTGTGTGTATACATTAAATTGGTCAAACGAAAATACAATTAGTAAGTTCAGATGAATTGGATGTTGATAAGAGGATGGCAACAAAAGTGATGAGTTGTCAAAAACGATTGTTAAAGAGGAGTAAGTTCAGGTGAATTGGATGTTCATATAAGAGGATAGTAACAAAAGTGATGAGTTGTCATAAATGATTGTTAAATAAGAGTTACGTAATGGCATGAATAGTTTGATGAATGAGTTGTGCTCAAAGGGTGTACATGGAAACAAAATAATATACAGAATTACACAAGGGTTTTAAGTTAGAAAAATAAGCATACAAACAGAAGTAAGGTCAAATCAAACAAACAAAGAAAAGTTACGTCAAATCAAAGGAGTAGTTACCATGCGAGTAGAAGTGGTTGGATAATTTTCTTTTGTATGCATAGTTCTGGTTCCTCCGACTGGATGGCTAGGGCTTCTGCGATGCAAAGAAGACGGAATCGTACTGTCTTTGGAAGGTTGTTCTTCACTTTGTAGATTACTTTGAAGGAGGCGTTCGTTGAGATGGAATGACCAGTATTGACGAGATGTTCGATTATTGCACTCCTTATATGGCCATTATTTCCTTTCTGTAGCCACGCTGGATAGTGTTCTTTTACCCTTTTAGACAGGATGCGCGTTGAACGATCGATGTACCTGGCTCCACAGCAACAGGTGAACTGATATATACACATAGAAGTGGTCATGTGCGGAATCTTGTCCTTTGGGTTTCTGCAGATCAGCGGGCGACTGGAGAACACTATTCTTAGTGTTGCCGCAGGGAAAGTTCTTCCTAAAGAGGTGGAAATTCTCCTTCTGAGGATGTCACTAAATAGGTCTCCTTTGAAGTCTAGGTTCATATAAAGTATCTTTTTTGGCACGGATGGTGTCTCTTGCTTTTGGTTTTTCTGTTTGATGTTTTTCTCTACAAATCTTGGTGGGTAGCCATTTTGTATGAAGATTTCTTTCAGGAAGTTTAGTTCTTCTTCCATGGTGTCGGAGCTGCAGATGCGTCTGACGCGAGTGGCAAGGGATTTAATTAGGTTTGGAACGGACAATTAACAAGTTTCTACAGCTGGGTACCAATCAGTCGGAAAAGAAACCTAATTAAATCCCTTGCCACTCGCGTCAGACGCATCTGCAGCTCCGACACCATGGAAGAAGAACTAAACTTCCTGAAAGAAATCTTCATACAAAATGGCTACCCACCAAGATTTGTAGAGAAAAACATCAAACAGAAAAACCAAAAGCAAGAGACACCATCCGTGCCAAAAAAGATACTTTATATGAACCTAGACTTCAAAGGAGATCTACTTAGTGACATCCTCAGAAGGAGAATTTCCACCTCTTTAGGAAGAACTTTCCCTGCGGCAACACTAAGAATAGTGTTCTCCAGTCGCCCGCTGATCTGCAGAAACCCAAAGGACAAGATTCCGCACATGACCACTTCTATGTGTATATATCAGTTCACCTGTTGCTGTGGAGCCAGGTACATCGATCGTTCAACGCGCATCCTGTCTAAAAGGGTAAAAGAACACTATCCAGCGTGGCTACAGAAAGGAAATAATGGCCATATAAGGAGTGCAATAATCGAACATCTCGTCAATACTGGTCATTCCATCTCAACGAACGCCTCCTTCAAAGTAATCTACAAAGTGAAGAACAACCTTCCAAAGACAGTACGATTCCGTCTTCTTTGCATCGCAGAAGCCCTAGCCATCCAGTCGGAGGAACCAGAACTATGCATACAAAAGAAAATTATCCAACCACTTCTACTCGCATGGTAACTACTCCTTTGATTTGACGTAACTTTTCTTTGTTTGTTTGATTTGACCTTACTTCTGTTTGTATGCTTATTTTTCTAACTTAAAACCCTTGTGTAATTCTGTATATTATTTTGTTTCCATGTACACCCTTTGAGCACAACTCATTCATCAAACTATTCATGCCATTACGTAACTCTTATTTAACAATCATTTATGACAACTCATCACTTTTGTTACTATCCTCTTATATGAACATCCAATTCACCTGAACTTACTCCTCTTTAACAATCGTTTTTGACAACTCATCACTTTTGTTGCCATCCTCTTATCAACATCCAATTCATCTGAACTTACTAATTGTATTTTCGTTTGACCAATTTAATGTATACACACACACACACAAAAATAACCATATATATTTGCGATTGTACAGCTATGAAAATGAATTCGCCGAAAAGAGATTGTATTTAGCAGTACCTGGTTGTGGTCTGCTCCACATGAAGGTGATCGATAAATGCTGCCCACTAGATATTTGCAGTACCCAACGGTGAAGTGGCATCATATGGAGTCAGGGAGCTCTGTGAGGGGAGGGTCCATCGCGTGAACACATCTGAGCTGTTTGTCGACGTATATGACATATTTTATGATAAGCAATAGTTTGTGCTCGAAACGTCATCAGTTAATATAACTGTACAAGACTGTGTGATTTATCAAAATAAAATCTTATCCATAGTGGAGTTATACTCTACCACAGTTTCCAAGTTTTATACTTATATCAATAATACGTTTTTTATTAGGTGGTTGTTTTCTGTGTAGACTTGTATAAAAATTAATATAATTAGGATTATCACGGACGATACGTAAGGGCACATATCAAGCAGTGTAGATAACACATATGATGAGTCAGTAAATTTTAGGAACATAATGAATTTACATTCAATTAAAGATTACCTGGGGGTTTTCTGGCATTTTCGGAGTGGCAGGCATACAATCCTCGAGAGACAAACTACTGTCATCAAACAGCAGACCCTGGCGGTAACTCAATGAAAATATGCAACGCCTGAACTGCAAATTCCTCAGTAAATTATTCGAATGAAATTTACCTCATACTCCCTCAATTTGCAACGACCAAGGTTTGCAAGGGATACGTAGCCAACACTGTATTTGGCGCAAGTTGAAGGAGCTAATAGAACGTTGAAGATATACTTAAATCCATGAGAATCCTATATTGTATATTATTTGTAGCAATATGATCTTACAGTCACCAGAGTTTCGTTGGCGTCAAAAGCTACATATTTAAACGGCTCGCTTGAATGCTGATTGTAGAAATTCACCAACGTTGGGAGTAAGTATTCAATGGGACTTTCATTCAGATTTTCCCTAGATTGCCAATCAGGGAAGACTCCATCTTCTTTTCCACCAATCAACAGTGCCAGCAAGAGAGACAGTGTAATCATATTCGTCTAGGTCAAGCTGCTAATGACCTTCAAACGACAAATATCCCTCTGCGTTCAATTTCCCAATACCGATTCCATTGATTTTTTCGAGGTGAATTCTTGGTTATAAACTTTCACAATCTCTGTTCCGCCACTCGTCTACCTCGCTTTTGGATGAGTTTGAGAAAGTGGTGCAGAGAGTGGTTATATATGGTTCTCAATGCCACTACTGTGAGGGAAGTGAATCTTAACACTCATTAATCATCCGTCGATGTCGGAGAGGGGGATGATAAAAAGGAGACATGATAATAATGATAATGACATAACAAATGGACACATTGTATCCTTAAAGAGGAAAACTATCAAACAAAAAGATAATTCAACTTCATGCCTTAAAATGATTGAACAGATAGAGTAATCAGAAGGGTGGGAAGTTGACGTCCGGGCAAGGATAAAGGATGATTTTAGACGAAACCCGTCAGTGGAGTATGAAATGTGGGTTTAAAGAATATAGTCCACTTGGACTCAGTTCATTAGTTGCTATATGATTATCCGGCCTACACTAAAGGCTTTCCACCGAGGATCAGGGAAACGCAGTTGTTGGTAGAGAATCCCAGGATTGACAACCTTGAACCAAAAGGAAATAGAAGTACACTATTGTGTTAACTGTTTGGGGCCTGATAAATCGTGAGTCGCCGCCAATAAGTCCGTAATGATATAATCGTAGTGTATGTTTGTTTGGATGATACTGACCACTTGTATATTTGTAAGCAGTATTTAGGTCACGCCTTAGCCAGATGTTGCTAAGCGTGAAAAGATCTGACTCTTTCGAACCCTTATGAGGTAGTAGGAAAGCCATAATATAACTCATTTCAGGTTGCAGTAGCAGTCTTTGAAAAATCTCTGTAGTGTGCGCACCTGTCCATTTGTGAAGTGTATAAAAGCGTATGGCCTCGGCATTAGATACTGTGTCAATGTAGTTGAAGATTGAACAATCACTTCATGGTTGTTTGCTGAAACCCAACTCCTCCATATTTTTCTCGGGTGTCATCAATCCGGCAGTCGTCGTCTCATCGTTCGCTGTTCAGAGGTAGATAAAAAACTATCAGAAGTATTATCGTGGTTTATTGTTATAACATTTATTCTCAGACCTTGTGTAATAACCCTATTGTTAGTTGCATGTTGGCGTAAGAATAAAGGATTTTTGAGTCGCCAGCGTTCTGGTTTTCGCGTTGGTTAATACAAAGTGTTTCCGAAAGTCTTCGAGGGACAGCGTGAGGTCCAGTGTAGTAAGAGCTGGACATTGACAGTTTATGAGAGTTGGCTCACATACTAAGATAGAGCCCTGTGAATATCCAGAGGACAGGCTTTGCCAGGATGATCGTACTTTGGTATATTATAACCTTCCCTTTAAGTTATCCTCCATCTGTGAGGAAAAATGGTCATCAGTACCCTCAAGACCAGTTTTGTGAAAAAGAATACCGTGCTGAACTGTGTAAAGTGCCTCCGCCAAGCCGAGGAAGATAGATGAATAAGAAAACTTATACCCCAGCATGATTTCTGCCCATTCTATGTTAGTATTCTGTTTCTTGCACTGCATCTAAATATCTGAGAACCATGACGTGCTTCATGGTGTAAGTTGTTCCTGGCAAAGTGTTACCTGATTTGGCTGCCAACCCTGCTTTCCAACAATTTTATTACCAGTGGAATTGGTGCAAGCTCAATTCAATTAATCGCGTTCTGATATTTCTCCCCCTTTGAAGTTAAGACAATGGATAGCACTCTAACACTTCTTTGGCAGCTTTTATTAACTGATGGAGCGTTGGGACCAGTCAGAGAAAGCCTCTGTGTACTGTTCTAGAACCGGTGGTTGATTATTGCCCCGAGCTGTAGATTTAGCTGAAACATGTAGTTCTAGAAAACCATCGCCGAAGTAGTGCGAGATATACCCGTCAGTCTTCCACTAGGTGCACTAATAAAGCTGTGCCCTTGGGTTATGCTAGTGACACCTATTGTGACACTTACATTTTCTCAAAAGTATTATCGAAAGTTCCAATCATTCCCAAGCCAGTGAGATTTTCACCAGTAAAACATCCTTGGATGCATGCCTCCTGGCTGAAAAGTTTTCTTTTCAGCAAGCATTTTTGTAAGGTTTCAGAGTTTCCCAGTAGTTTTCTTGCAAGATATGCCTGGAACTACCTCTTATCACTTCGAACCATTACGCTGCATCAGCTCCTGAATTCTAGGTATGCTTAATGGCCAGCCTGAATTCTAGAAAATTACCCAGTCCACCAGGATTTTCGGTTGGTTTGCAGAGTAGGCTGAGAGTCTGTTTTTGATCACAAGATACACTTCTTGGGGTGCACTAGGACGGTATTCGTGTATACTATGCGAATAACCGCTCTTACTGTTACGTTAAGCTGAGGTAATGCCATATGACTACCCAGTTTCCAACAAAGTTGCCAGCAACCCATTGCTTTCCTTGACTGATGCACACACAGAGGGTCTGTGATTTTGTATTAAGCTGAATCTCAAAGAATTAACTTGCATAACTTATCCGCTAGGGTATTGTTACTTTTCGGTCCATTCTTATCTCTGATTCTCACAAATGAACTTCCGAATGAATCAGGCTGTGGGTACCTTCTTTAAGCTGGTAATACGAAGGCGTGGAGATTTCTGTGGAACTTAAATGCCCGGCAAACCTCGCCTAGATAACTAGCTTGGTAGATTACTAGCACGCTAGTTTTCTTGCCGGTCATAAGCCCCGATAAAGAGGGAGAGTTGGGGAGTGGTGCTAGCAACTCCACCCCCGTAAAACAACCAAATCGCTACAGAAACTTTAACGAATAAATATATTAAAAATTCTAAAAACATAAGCAATAGCCTTACTTTTCACTGGAATCGGGGAAGCGAAATGACGCAGGCTGGTGAAAGCCTTCGGGAAGCCAGTCAGCCGATGTGCCTTCTTTCGATGAAAGCAAAAGTAAGGATGGGTACCTGGAATGTCCGTGCAATGTACGAAACTGGAAAGGCTGCCCAGATAGCCGCTGAAATGAGAAGGTACAGAATAGAAGTGTTGGGTATCTGCGAAAGCAGATGGAACGGAACTGGAAGGTGCCAACTACCAACTGGAGAGACAGTAATCTATTCCGGCCACGCAGAGGACAACCACGAGCACACCGACGGAATGGCCATCATGATGTCACCAACAGCAACCAAAGCTCTCATGGAGTGGGAACCAATCTCCTCCAGGATAATGACAGCCAGGTTCAACTCAAAAGGAAGGAGAGTTACAGTCATTCAATGCTATGCGCCTAAAAATGCCCCAGAACAAGAGAAGAAGGAGGCATTCTACAGGCAACTACAAGCAATAATGGACAATGTCCCAAATGGCGATATCAAAATCCTGATGGGCGACATGAATGCGAAGCTGGGAGGAGACAATACAGGAATAGAACTCACCATGGGTCGTGAGGCTCTCGGTGAAATGAACGACAATGGTGAACTCTTCTCAGACTTCTGCGCCTTCAATGATTTGGTGATTGGTGGTAGCGTTTTCAAACACAAGGATATACACAAGACGACATGGATTTCACCAGATGGAAACACCAAGAATCAAATAGACTTCATCTCAATTTCAAGAAAGTGGAGACGGAGCCTACTGGACACAAGGTCGAGGAGAGGAGCAGATGTGGGTTCAGACCACTGTCTGGTAGAAGGAAGTTTCAAGGTGAAACTAAAAGCCTCGGGGATAGCTGGGGATAGGCCAAAATGCCAGTTCAACACTCAGAAACTGAAGGACACAACCACAAAGGACACTTTCACTGCAACTGTCAGAGCAAAGCAGGAAACACTACGTGACATCACTGAAGAATCATGCGTGGAAGAACATTGGAAGTCTCTGAAGGCAATTCTCAACGGAACGTGTTCAACGGTTCTACGAAGAAAGAAGAGACAAGACAAGGAATGGTTCTCAACGATCACTTGGAAGCTATTAGAAGAAAAGAGAATGGTGAAAGAGAAAATGATTCAATGCAAGGACGGACAGGAGAAAGAGACGATGAGCTCAACTTACAAAGCACTGGACAAAGAAGTGAAGAAGAGTGTTAGGAAGGACAAAAGACGATTCTACGACAACCTGGCCACTGAAGCTGAGAAGGCAGCAGGCAAAAGGGACCTGAGGACATTATATCAGATAACCAAATCTCTATCCGGGAAGAGGTCAACACAAGCGAAACCTATAAAAGACAGCCAAAGGAACCCAATTACCAAGGAAGAAAAACAGATTAAACAATGGGTGGAGCACTTCAAAGGACTCTTGAACCGACCATCACCTGCAACCCGTCCAGAAATACCAACGACAGCACGTACACAACTGCAAGTTGACATCAATCCTCCAACGAGAGCTGAAGTCTTGAATGCAATCAAGCTTATGAAAGCTGGAAAAGCAGCTGGACCAGATGGAATACACCCTGAAGCACTCAGAGCGGACCCAGAGACGACAGCAGACATGCTGACTCCATTATTGCAAAAGGTCTGGAAGTGGGGAAAGGTGCTTACTGACTGGAGGAAAGGTTACCTCGTGAAACTACCAAAGAATGGCGACTTAGGACTCACTCTGCAAGAAATGGCGAGGAATCATGCTCCTATCGACGCCAAGTAAATTCCTAAGTCGCATCATCCTGTAGACAATAAAGGACGCACCGGATACATAACTCCGACCAGAACAAGCTGGATTCAGGAAAGGCAAATCATGTACTGACCAAATTGCAACTCTACGCATCATCATCACAGAATAAAGCATGGAATGGCAATCAAACCTCTACCTCAACTTTATAGACTTCGAGAAGGCCTTCGACAGCGTTGACCTTGAAGTAATTTGGAAACTACACGAGTACTATGGCGTACCCGAAATATTCATCAACCTTATTCAACAGCTGTACGACAACGGAACATGTCAAGTCATCCACAACGGAAAACTCAGCGAGGCGTTTGGAATAAACACAGGTGTCAGACAAGGGTGCTTATTATCACCAATGATATTCCTAATTGTGGTGGACTGACTGGATTATGC